CAATCAATTTTAATGGTTGATTATCCCTTGGAGTTCGAAATCGATTTTTGATTTTGGAATTAGTCGACATTCGACTGAAGTCTTTTGCTATCTGGGATGTCGATTGTTGATTTTGAGTTCTTTGAAAAGTTTTTTGAAAGAAAAGTGGATTTGTGGTCTTTCTTGTTGAATGGGAACGTATTGTTGGTCGATGGTTGGAAGTTCATTTTTGGAATCGATGGGAGTTATAAGGTCGAATGGTCTGGACAGATGAAATTTTTGATGTTGATTGTGGGTATTTTTCAAATGGGTTTTGTAACAATGTTCGTTATCTTGATGATGATGGCTTGGAGTTGAACGAAATTGAGTCGATTGTTTTCATCGAGGTATTGAATGAAAAGCAAAGGTTGAGTGTTATTGCTTGACTGGGAACAAACTAAGAAAGATCGATTTTAAGGGATTTGATATCGATTGACGAGCAACAAATGAATAGGTGATGTTGTTTTTGAGTTTGATAGATGTGAGTTTGTTCACGAAGGTGTGATGATCGATGGATTGATTTTAGACTTGGAATTGAAGGTTGTGACATCATGAATGTCTACTAATCTCCTTGTTAATGGTCCTTGTTGTGAAAACGAAGGATTACTGTATGGATGACGAATAGATAGTCAATGGATACAAGCTTGATAACGAAGCCTATAATTGTGCAAGCGGCGATCGAAGCTGATAGATTTCATCAAGCAGGTTGAACTACAATTACGAAATCCTGTTTAGAAAATTCGCAATGAAAGTGGCTCAAAATTCAAAAACCAAGAATTTGAAGGATTCTTAACTGACGAAGGGATTGCCCACAACTTTTCTTCACCTTACACTCCACAGCTGAACAGTGTGGTTGAAAAACGAAACTGCTCTCTTTGGGCAGCTGCAAGGATGATGTTATCATTTGCGAATCTACCTCTCTACTTCTGGGTTGATGCTATTGCAACTACTTGTTTCACACAGAACCATTCCTACATTAACAAAATATTTTTGATTACTCCTTATAAGATTTTGAATAATAGGAAACCAAACGTTAAATTCTTTCATGTGTTTGGTTCCGGGTGCTTTCTTTTCAACTCTAAAGAAAATCAAAACTAATTTGATGTAAAAGTGGATGAAGGAATTTTTCTAGGTTATTCTTTAACTTCAAAGGCATATAGGGTTCTGAACAAGAAATCGAGAAAGACTGAAGAAACCTACTATGTCACCTTCGATGACAACTACATGAAGAGATATTAGAAAGAGGATTGTCAGTCTGGGGAAATCTTTCTGTCAACAAATTTCATGACAATTCCTCTTATGAATTTATTTAAGGATTTTCTAATTTGTTTTATGAGCCTGAAAAATCTATTTCCTCGTAGTCGAAGGCCAAGGACAATCAAGAAGATGAATTGAAGAAAATTGTTGATGAAGCTGCTGAAAACATCAAGACTTCTTAGGAGCAACCAATTCCGAAAGAACCTCACCCACAACATACTGATATACCCCTCCAGGGGGAGGTTTCTACTCCAAACTCTAATACCGATAATCACTTCTAGGAGGAGGATCGAATTCCGAATGAAGGGTCACATGCAAACTTCCAGGGGGAGAATGAAAATAATAACTCAGATGTATAATCGGAATTTGAAGAAGTTTATGATGAAATCGATCCAACTTATGATCTAAACTATCCTCCTATGAAAAATTGGACCAAAGATCATCTAAGATCTCAACTGATCGGAGACTTATCTTTAGGAGTTTTTATAGGTGATCAACAAAAGCGAAACAAATTGCATTGTATTTAAAATTGGAATTTTGTACGTTTAATTCTTTCATTTCTAAAATTGAGCCTAAAACTATGAAAATTGCTCCTGATCATGCAGATTGGGTTCAAGCAATGCAGGAAGAACTCAACGAATTTGAGCAAAATAAAGTATGGAGATTGGTTCCCACTCCGAAGGATGCTTCAATTGTTGGTGGCTAAACTATAATCCGTTTGGATTTTTCTCGCCTATGCAACTTACAAAAACTTTGATGTATATCAAATGGGTGTGAAGTGTGCATTTCTAAAGGATGAACTGGAAGAAACCGTCTATGTTGAACAACCACCTGGGCTTGTGAATGAAAAATATCCGAATCATCGCTATGTTCTGGATAAACCGGTATATGGTCTCAAACAAGCTATGAGGGCATGGTATGAAAATATAACTCAATTTCTTAAGCAATCTAAACTGTTGATACTACATTCTTTCGTTAGATGGAGGGTAACCATCTGATGATTTTTCAAATTTACATTGATGATATTATTTTTAGATCTACTAATCCCAGCTTAACTGTTGAATTCTGAAAGCTAGTGGAAACTAAATTCGAAATGAGTTCAATGGGTAAAACTAACTTTTTCCTTGGATTAAATATAAGACAAAGTTCAGAAGTTGGGTGATTCTAAAGTCAAAGTTCCAATGGCATCCAGAACAAACTTACACCTTTTATTGATAAACCAATAGTCGATATGAATTTGTATCGTTAAATGATTCCGTCTTTTTTATATTTAACTTCCAGTCATCTCGATATCATGTTTGTTATGTATTGTTGTGCCAGATTTCAAGCCAGTCCTAGAGATCCTCACATGATGGCAGTCAAGAACATCTTTCAGTATTTGAAGCGGACTACCTCTCTTAGACTATGGTATCCATCGAATCCAGGCTTCTTTGTGCAAGCATATTCCAATGCTGATCTAGGCAAATGTGGATTTGATCGGAAAAGTACATAAGGGGGATGTCAGTTTCTGGATGGCAAACTTGTTAGTTGACAATCCAAGAAGCAGACTTGTATATCCTTATCCACCGCTGAAGCTGAATATATTGTTGTTGCATCATGTACATCACAAGTAGTGTAGATTCAAATCAGCTTAGGGATTATGGAATTAATATGAAGTGAATCTTACTATATTGTGATTCCGAAAGCGCAATAAGTATCTACCACAACCCTGTGCAACACTCAAAGACAAAACATATTGCATTGCGATACTATTTCATAAAGGATCAAGTCGAGGATGGTAATGTTGAAGCTCATTTCGTTAGATCCTCAGCTCGGTTGGATGGCATCTTCATAATGGCCTTACCTGAACCTACGTTCAATAGAATTTTACAAGGGCTAGGAATGATGGAAGCAGACTCACTTCCAAAATCTTCCTCGTAATCGGAATTTACTGTTCATGTTCTAAATGGTTTCGAGCTTCAAAACATCTTAGAATTGATTGTTCAAATTCCGATTGGTTCTGAGCTTCGAAATGGTTCAGAATCTACTGTTCATGGGGGTTTTTGGAAATTCTTTATATCCTTTTTACATTAAATCTCTTCCGATTGGTTCCGAGCTTCGGAATGATTTGGATGTTACTGTTCATTTGTGTTTCTGAATTCAATTATCTTTCAATATTTTCTTTATTCTGTTTCATTTTTTTTTCAGAAAACCAAAAATTACAAATATTTTCTTTATTTCTGTTTTCATTTTTTAATCAAAAATCTATAAAATATTTTTCTTTATTTCTATTTTATTTTTTAGAAAATCCAAAATAACAAAAGCATTTTTACTTTTGAGAAGCTGACGTTCTTTTCTCAGGAACAAATTCTTTATTACCACAATTTAGACCGATGGGACAGGTATGATTCCGAAACTGTATACTAGCTAAGTGTCATTAAAAGCATGTTGCTTCATGTTCTCCCAAGCCTCCTAGACTCTATGTCCGAAGCCTTAATAAAACTTTCATTACTATCGTTTCTTCCCAATTAGGCTATTCCTTCACATAAGTCATTGAGCTACCTTACACTTCTCACATTGAGTTAAGAGTTGATTGCTTTGTCATTCATTTATAGCAGAGGTACACTATCTTCTTTGGAACCCATCTCTATAATTTCTCCATCATTTTTGTATTCATAAAAGTAACCATTGAGACTCTCAACAATTACTACCAAGGTTTATGGTTACACAACTTCTGTGTTTATGATCTTGAAATCGTTATCAACACGATTTTGAGTGAGACCCAAAATCGGAAACCTATTTCTGAATTAATGGTGAACAATTAAATGTTCTAGATATTTTCACCAAGGAATTGACAATTAAAACCTTTATGGTTTGTACATTTACAAGTTTGAAATCTCATTTTTCATTTTGAGTGGTCTTAATGAAATGTTCTTGACCCAAGTCACTTCTTCCCAAAAGATCCATATTTTTTTTTTGAGATTTCCATCATATCCAGTCACTTAAAGAATATCCAAAGCTTACTTGTTCTTATGGCTACACCGGTCAAACAAGTACTTCTCTCAGATCTTCCCACTTATGTTGATTTTTGCAATTTGTTGGAAGCTTAATCCATCCTTATTACCTTCTTAAAAGAAGCCTTTCAATGTTTTTGAATAAATAGATGATCATAATTCAGCAGGATACCACACAAGCACTTCAGAGTCTCTCTTGACTCAGAAGGAAGAGATCGATGCCAGGGATCCTTCTGATTTTAATGTCAATCTCATTTGACATCACAGAATCCCACAAATTTAGTTTGATTTATTTCTTTATCTTTAGCACACTCTTGCACAAAATCCTTGTATTTTTCAAAGTTTGGTTCTAATTTCGATTGGTTACTTTTATTCCGAGAACAGGTTATGGTCTCAAAGTTGATGACTTGTATGATGATTCTGAAAGTTTCAATACTGAAATGACGGTTTCTTAGAGATGAAATTTCAAACCAGGTGCATCTTTTGAATTCCCTGACACACACGTGTTTGTTACAATGGCGTTTGACACACACGATAAGCTGTCATAAATTTCCAGATTGATTTGTGGGATACGGGAATGTGGAACGATGATTTTCTCTCACCACTCATAACAAACTGTATAAAAGGGTTTTGGATGGTTCACTTTGTATTACCACAGACATAGTATTCAAAACCCTCAAGGAAGAAACCCCTAAAAGCTCTCTACTGTTCATTGTCTTCTTCACAACAACAATGGTAGGATCATCTGAGCACATCTTGTTTGATGACGAATCTGCCTCCGTCATCATGCTCAACATGAAACACAACCAAAACATGATCCTTGATCTTGATTCTTCTCGCTACAACGAAGTTTTCAGGCTGATCATCGAATGTCTCAAGTTCTCGCCTCTAGCTCAGGCATTAACAATAACGGAATATGTTCCTCTTATTCATCATCACAAGGCTTACTCATCTGCCATCTACAACAAAGCAGATGATATCATTCACTTTGAGTTTGCATCTCACAAGCCTCAATCACTAAGCCCCACTTCAACAAACTGTTAGGGCTTACTTCTACTAAAGCTTCTATGAATCCTGAATCAATTCTAACTTCTGCCCTGGTTTAAATGTTCTATTAGATGGGTTACACAAGAGATATCACTCCGTTTTTGAATTTTAGGAAACCCTTCCTTCCTCTAATGTGGAATGGGATGTTCACTTTATAAGTTTTGAGCATAACAACATCATATGTGATCATGCAACCCTAATTGCATTGGATCTATGTTTTTCACTAGTTGAACATGCAATTGAATTCAGTAACCCTAGATATAACATATATAATTTGAAATTCATATGTAAAAAGGGTTAAGAATATTAACATGCTTGTTATGTAGCAATAAAAAGAAATCCTTGATTGTTCTTGACTCTTGAAAGCTTAATGCCTCAAATGTTGCACCTCTAATGGCTCACAAACACTTGTCGCAAGAGGATGAGAGGAGAGAGGAGGTAATTCTTCAGAATATTGGCTAGGGTTTCTATGCTATAAGCATTTGACGAAAACCTTAGGTGAAGGGGTCTGTAAATAGCTAAGGCTGCTAGGGTTTTCAGGTGGAAACCCTAATTTCCTGCTTAGGCCTTAAGCAGTCCATGGACCTCCTATTCTAGAAGCCTTGGATGAATTCTATAGGTCCTCCCTATAGATTTTGTAATGCTTGGTCCAAGTATGAATTAATTTAATTTTTTTTAAGTATTGGAAGGAACTCGATGAGTTAGGAGGCTCCAACTCGACAAGTAGGAGGCCTTCCAGCCGTATAGACTGGATGATCTACTCGATGAGTTGGGGATCCCCAACTCGATGAGTTGATGCTGGAAATGAAAACCCTAATTTTCTGGGTATTGTATCCTATTCAAAGCACTTAACCTCTAGGGTTGGCCTCCTTACCGGCCTCCTTGCCCAGAAAAAAGCCTTAGAATCACCTCCCCCTCTTATTCATTGAGTTTTGTTGTAACACTCATAAAAATCTTGCTAATTTAAAACTTTTTAAAGCATTCAAAACCCAACAGTTATTACAAACTTGTTTTTCAAAATAGTTCCATATCAGTGTATCGTAGAAACAAGGTCATAAAATTTGAGGAGCTTTACGATCACCCCTTTGCCTTCCCGCGATCATCTGAAGTTCCTGAAACCAAAACTGAAACTGTAATCCCAAAACTTAGTGAGTTCCCCCCAAATACCCATAGACACAACAATACACATATAATCACAAACAACATACTATAGGTCTAGTCAACCATCAGGTTGGAATACCCCAGGACCTCAACCATCGGGTTGGAATGCCAACATACTATGGGTCCAGTCAACCATCGGGTTGGAATATCCTAGGCCCTCAACCATTGGGTTGGAATGCAATCATACTGTGGGTCCAATCATCCTCGGGATGGAATACCCCAGGCCCACAACTATCGGGTTGGAATGCCCACTTACTACGAGTCTAATCATCCTCAAAATGAAATACTTACGGCCCACAACCATCGGGTTTGAATGCCCACATCTATTGGATTTCGCACAAAGCAGATAAGCATCAACCACCAATCAAACATGTGCACATATATCAGATAATCACATAACAATATATAGACATACAAATCGACCTAACAAAACATAACAACATAATAACATCCTATTTACCAGGATACCGATCTAACAGATCCTAACAGTATAACGTCATCCTATCTACCAGGATACTGATCTAACGGATCATACTAGCCTAACATATCAGGATAACAATGTAAAAGGGCCGGCCTTGGTGCCTTCGACTGTTGAGTATAGTAAGGAAAACTCACCTCACAACTGTCGAACTACAGTGATAAGATCAAACTCTCGAATCACAGCCGCGAACTCCACCACCTATATTCACCATTGAACCACGCCAATAGCAAAAGCACCTTATCGATTAGCACCGACATAGATGAAGGAGCTGATGATGCAACTTCAAGGGTTACTGGACAAAGGTTTCATTAGACTTAGTTCATCGCCCTGGGGAGCTCCGGTGTTATTCGTGAAGAAGAAAGATGGAAGTATGAGAATGTGCATTGATTACAGAGAGCTGAACAAGGCAACAATAAAGAATAGATATCCATTGCCAAGGATTGATGACCTGTTTGATCAATTGCAAGGTTCGAGCTATTTCTCGAAGATCGATCTAAGGTCAAGATATCATCAGCTAAAAGTAAGAGAGCAAGATATCGAGAAGACTGCATTCAGAACTAGATATGGACACTACGAGTTCTTGGTTATGTCATTTGGACTAACCAATGCTCCAACAGCATTCATGGATTTAATGAATAGGGTTTGTAATCCGTTCCTTGATAAATCTGTGATAGTGTTCATAGACGACATTCTGGTTTATTCGAAAATCCAGGAGGAGCATGGTAGACACTTGCAAGAAGTGTTAGAAGTTTTGAAGCAGGAGAAGCTGTATGCAAAGTTCTCCAAATGTGATTTTCGGATTTGTGAAGTCCAATTCTTGGGTCACGTGGTCAACCAAGAAGGGATAATGGTTGATCCAGCAAAGATTGAAGCTGTAATGAAGTGGGAACAACCGAAAAGTCCCACAGAGATCCGAAACTTTTTAGGATTAGCCAGATATTATTGAAGTTTTATCCAAGGCTTTTCTTCGATTGCTACTCCATTGACAGCTTTCACCCACAAAGGAGCTACTTATGCTTGGAATGATAAGCATAAAGAAGCATTCGAGAAGCTAAAGAAAAAGCTATGCGAGGCACCAATACTTTCTCTACCCGATGGAGTTGAAGACTTCGCTGTTTATAGCAATGCGTCTGGTGTTGGATTGGGTTGTGTTTTCACCCAAAGAGAAAAGGTGATAGCATATGCATCTCGACAGCTGAAGGAGCATGAAAAGAATTACCCAACTCATGATTTGGAGTTGGCAGCGGTAGTTTTCGCTCTGAAAATATGGAGGCATTACCTCTATGGCACGAAGTGCAAACTTTTTACTGATCATAAGAGTCTCCAATATCTCTTTAATCAGAAAGAATTGAATATGAGGCAACGACGCTGACTAGAATTACTTAAAGACTACGACTGCGAGATACTTTACCACCCCGGTAAAGCTAATGTTGTTGCTGATGCTCTCAGTCGGAAAGTCAATCTTGAAAGGAAAAGGCCAAGAGCGTTGAGAATTGAAGTTGTCTCGACCATTGTGGAAAGTATAAAGAAAGCTCAAGAGGAAGCTTCTGAAAAGAATGACTGAAAGGAGGAACGTTTGGGCAAAACGTTGGTGTTCGGTGTAAACAGTCATGGACTAAAGTGATGGGTTTTGAGCATTCTAACACATCCTAAGTGTACATGCAACCCTAATAACCTTGGATCTATGTTTATCTAATTATCATGCAAAGTTGAATTCCAAGGCTATATTCCTATCTAGCATACATGGGAACAATTTTAACTTTAATAATAGATAGAATAACTTACCTTGTTGTTGCTTGTGTTCCTTGAAACCTTGTGAGCCTAGCACCCCAAGTGTGATGCCTCAAATGCTTAACACAACACCAAATGCTCTTGGAAAAACTTATGAGAGAACACACACTTCTTGAAATCGGCCAAGCCCTCTTGTTTCCTTAGTGTAGCCGATTTTAGTGGAGAACATGATTCTTATATAGTGTTGACACATCTAGGGTTACACCATGTAAACCCTAATGTGTCATGACTCTTCATTTCCATGACCCATGGGTTTGTAACTCCCATGGAGCATCCATGGAGCATCCTATGGGTAGAACCCAACTTGATAATCCATGGAGCCTCTTAGCCCACTATACAAGATATGGATGATTTACATAATCAACCCATATATTTAATTAGTTCTCTTTTGACCACTTAATTAATTCTAAATTAATTATTGATCAAACTAATCAAATAATATTATTAATATATTAGAACTTATAATATATTAATAATCTCCAAGTGTTATTTCTCTCATTTAGTCTATCCAATTGCATGGTGCCATGCAACCCAAATGGACCATGCCGGGTCGGGTCAAGTACATACCAGAAATAGTTATGGACTTAGACACCTTATCCAACAGTCTCCCACTTGGATAAGTCTAATAACTATTACTGCAAGTATGACTTCAGGAACCGATCGACAATCGTAGCTCTTTTCAAGGTTTCTCGGAACTGAGAAGATGATGGTACGCCATTTAAGATAAGTGATCATATAATCCTCTGTTCTAGATATCAGTCGGACAAATACATGGAACAATGTCTTACTTATTGTCCAACAGTTTGTTTCCCGATTTCCGATTTGTTTGACAAAGAACTTAATTGAACACATCAACTTAGTTCTGACCGGCCCGGTACATGGGTCAAAACAAAATCATCGAGGGGCCCAGATATCAGCTTCTAATCCAAGAAGGAACAGATAAACTTCGACTCATATGTTTGTTCTACCACTCATTGAATTACACACAAGAGCACGATTTATAACATCGAGTTACCAATGCGTTTTCGTACAATCAATGCATAACCAACTTGTAAGTAACAAATCATATCTCTAGGTTTGAAGACTTATACGATATTACCGTCTCACGATCACTCGAGATAGAATTCCATGAAGTGATTCCAGTGAGCGTGGGTTGAGTCCAATGCTCAGAACTTATGAGCACTCATGATTGCTGTAGCCTTGTCCAAGACCTCTACAACCAAACATGACAGTCTTGATTCATACCTACTTCCGACATATGACTGACTGTGGAGGTTTGAATAATATGTTATACCAAACAAAAATTATTCTGGAAGTCAAAACATGCAAAAGAAATATAGTAAACGGTCGACAAGAGATAGTAACACTTTACTCATAAATAAAACATTTTTTATTCATCATCAAATGTCAATTACACTTTACAAATTTCGAGGTTATCTAACTACTAAATCTAATATCATCCTTCAGCCCTATGCTCCGAGCATGCTGGAGATGCTTAACCCGAGTCAGTCCCTTTGTGAGGGGATCTGCCGGATTCTCATCTGATGATACCCTCTTTGCCACG